GTAAAATTGTGTAAAGTGTTAGCCTTCACTGCTGCTGTTGGCCATTTGTTCCATTAATCAATCCTCTCTTAAAATTGTGTAAAGTGTTGACCTTCACTACTGCTGTTGGTCATTTGTTCCATTAATCAATCCTTTCGTAAAATTGTGTAAAGTGTTGGCCTTCACTACTGCTGTTGGTCATTTGTTCCATTAATCAATCCTTTCTTGAAATTGTTTAAAGTGTTGACCTTCACTACTGCTGTTGGTCATTTGTTCCATTAATCAATCCTTTCGTAAAAGTGTGTAAAGTGTTAGCCTTCACTACTGCTTATGGCCATTTGTTCCATTAATCAGTCATTTTTTAAAAGTAAAGTGTTGGCCTTCACTACTGCTGTTGGTCATTTGTTCCATTAATCAATCCTTACGTAAAATTGTGTAAAGTGTTGACCTTCACTGCTGCTGTTGGTCATTTGTTCTATTAATCAATCCTTTCGTAAAATTGTTTAAAGTGTTGGCTTTCACTGCTGCTGATGGCCATTTGTTCCATTAATCAATCATTTTTTAAAATTGTGTAAAGTGTTGGCTTTCACTATTGCTGATGGTCATTTGTTCTATTAATCAATCCTTTTGTAAAATTGTGTAAAGTGTTGGCCTTCACTACTGCTGATGGTCATTTGTTCTATTAATCAATCCTTTCTTAAAATTGTGTAAAGTGTTGGCCTTCACTACTGCTGTTGGCCATTTGTTCCATTGACCAATCACTGAATTTCAAAAATAAAACTGTCGTAATTGGACTTTAGCCTGTCCTATTATCTTCAGAATACAGCACAAAGAAAGTGGAGTCCTTTATCCTGTTGATTTCTTGAATAATTTTGTAAATTTCAATAAGATAATCTCTTATCCTTGTTTTCTCAAAAGAAAATAAGAGATGTTAATCTATTCCTATAAAATAATCCTTCCTTTCCAGGAATCATCCTAGTAGCCTTACTCGGAATCTTTTCCAGTAAGTCAATATCCTTTATAAGATAAGGAGACCAAAACTGTCCACAGTATTCCAAGTGAGACATAACAAGTGATTTATATATAGTGATAATTAACTCTTTGGATTTGAAATAAATTTCTGTAGATAACACTAAAATTCTATTAGCTATATTAGTTGTGATAGACTGTTGCTTTGGTAGCTTGAGTGACTTATCCATCATTATGTCAAGATCATTTTCATTAATCCTGCTATTGAGTTGGTTCCCATTTATATCAAAAGTATGAAGTTAAAGGTCATTTGCCAGATATTTGTCTAACTTACTAATAAGTCCAACTGTTTTTACAGTACATTCAATACAGCTAGAAATGTACAGTAATGTCATCAGTAAACTTTTCTATTTTACTAATTAAGCTTCTATCAGTATAATTAATTTAAATAAGAAAAGCAAAGCACTGACATATGATGTAGTCCACTAGTAACGAGGGTCCAGTTTGAATAAATGCTATTCATAACAGCCTTTTGCTTTCTCCCATCCAACCACTCTACAATCCAATTAACTAGTCTTTTCTCCAACCCCTACCTATGTGAAATGCTGAGATAATCATTTGTTTGGCACCTTATCAAAATATGCAATAGTGTTGTGTTAATGGGTATTTCAATTTTTATTGTGTACTTTTTTATGTAGTCACAACCTGAGGGAACATCCTAAGGAAAATATAAGTAGTCTGATTAGAAAATTGATAATAAAGTATGATGGAGGTTACCGTGAAGACCCTAGATTCCCAGAATCACAGTTTCTCTGTCCCTGAAGATGTAAGTATTGTGTATATTTTTACTAGTAAAATTTTAAATTAAGTAATTTAATATAATTATTTAACTATTCAATATTTGGAGGGAATTTATATGTTATTGCTGAAGGGAACCAGTTCTATGTTTGAATCAGTGTCATTTATTCTGTGAAACTTACCTTGATAATGAACCTTGCTATTATTCTATGTTATCTTATTGTTCTATAATTTATTGACTATAAAAGATTGAAAGCTTAAAATTGGTATACCAAAACACTTCATCACTTCCACCAGAAGTAGCTAGTGTCATGAAAAATAAGCCATTCTGTCTTTTACAGAGGTTCACTGCACATATCAGTGTTATCTTGGTTTAAATCTGTAGTCCACATTTGGCAACAGCTGGAATTTTACATAATTATGGTATGGTTTAGTGTTTCAGTGTGGATATTAATTCATGTTGGAAATATTTTTCATTTATTACAATTTTTTTTATATTCATTGCAGTTTAGAGATTATTGCTGTTTTTTTCTCATTCAATTAATCATGAATTTTGTATTTGTTGTACTGTCTATTCTTCAGATAAAAATGTGTAACAATTGCTCTTATGAATGGTCGCAGGTCTTGCATAGCCGAAAGTGTCAAAGTTTGGTTTTATTTTTAAAATATGCCCTCTTTATTTTTATACATGTCTTTACATACCATTATCCCTCCTTTCAGAAAAAAGGAGAGATAATTTAAAACTACTTTTCAAAATATGTTGCAGAAGAACATTTCTAAGGCTCTACTTCTATTTAGGCTCCTGTGGTAGATAGTCTTGTATCACATCTGTGGGCTGTTGTAATGGTGCTTTTGTATTTTATGGGTGATTCCAGGTCAACTGGTCAAGGTAGACTGCAGGGTAGGGAGGGAGGTAATCACTATTTTATCACCAATATTTAATGTCACTTTGCGTCATACAGATCTAGCCTGCAATGTATTGGATAAAACTAGTTAAGACTGCCAACATCGTAACACTTGGTAACTGTCCTCACGGCTGCTTCTTCTGACGTGTCATGAGTTAACCGGTATAAGACAGTTGCTGACTTAGGCTAGTGTATTATCTTTGGCTGTGGTAAACCTTTCTGATGATACTCTCACTGAAATGTTTTTCCTGGATGTTGACAGTTTATCACAGGGATCAACATTTTTTTCAATACCATAGGAAGTCAGATGCATTTTAAGGCTCATTCTTACCTCAGTCACTATGAGGTAAAAAGTTGAATTTTTGATCTATCCAATCATATTCAAGCTTTATTTATAGCTGTTTCCAAAGCCATTTTTCATTGGGAAGTGATCAATTCATGTGACATCATAAAAGGATGGCAACCAAGCAGAAAAAGACAAGGGAAATGCTTGAAAATCAGGAAATGGATAATATATTCTCAAGGGGTGATA